CCGTTAGTATAAAAGGGCGTGCACAATCCGAATTCGTCAGTGGACGTAGACGAAGTAAAGCTTAAATTATGAAAAGCTACGAAAACTCAAAACGAAACAGCACGAACAAAGAAGACAGACTAAAGACAACGAAGATTTAAAGGAATGAGTGAACGTTAGTAAAACCACTACAAGAAGACGAACATAGTTATTTTAGGTTGACTGTAACGATTCCCTACCTCGCGTAGAAAACGGAATAAAATCATATATTCCTAACATGAATAATGTGAATCCAATAATTCAATGTATTCAATATTTTAATTCTAAATGAATATTACTAGCTATTACGGTCATAGGTGCACGATGAATACCCATACTAACGAACATTGTGGGGTTCCAATGGAGGTCCTTTTTGAAAGGACAGGTCAGAAAGTACGATATTAAGAAGAACAGGGTTTTATGTTGTCCAAATTTGGGAATGCGAGTGTCGTAACTTGCGTAAGACCGAAGAGTTGCAAGCCTTTCTCGCCACCTACGAACAACAACTAGATGTACGAACAACACTGATATTTCCCGAATTACTTAATGATATTGAACTTTGCGATAAAGCAAAATAATCTTCAATAATGACAGAGTCGTCTAACATACGTCTGCACGCCATGAATACTTAGGTACAACGTAAAGCTTGAGCAATGCCTGTACGTAAAGTCATGCCATGCAATCCAGCGACCAAAAGCTAAGCGAAAAGCCGCGACGAGGACTGATTGGTAGCATGTTTGCCGAAAAGATCCTATTAATAACGCCGCTCTTACAGTGGTATGTAAAAAAAGGTTTAGAAGTAACAAATATTTACGAGGTTATATTACAGAATTCATTCCAAAAACTTGTATCGAAGGATATTGCCGATCATGTTAGCGAGGCCAGACGCGAGGGTGATCGTGATCCGACTACTAAAATTATAGCTGAAACGATGAAACGTGCAATTGCGAAAAATGGCAATTCTGGCAATGGTCATTCACTGACCAACAAAGAGAAACATCTTAACGTGAATTACTATGACGAAAATAACGTCGGATTAGCCGTTAATGATCCACATTTCAGAAAATTAGATATTATTGAGGACAACTTTTATCAGGTCTCTAAAACCAAAACATCAATCAAAATTAACCTGCCCATGCAAGAAAACAGAATTTTTCGTCTACCAATATGCAAAATTTCGACTGTTAGGTTTTATTACGATTTCATGGCCAAATATATTGCCCTGATTTTGAATATTGCGAGATGGACACAGACTCCGCGTATCTGGCACTTGCCGGCGAAAGTGTCGATCACTTGACCAAACCCGAGCTCCGAGCTGAATACGAACGCGAAAAACATGATTGGTTTCCGCGAAATTACGGAAGTTCGACAAGCGCACACCAAGTTTATTTAAAACCGAGTTTGAAGGGCAGGAAATAATCGGGCTTTGCAGTGAAATGTACTTTTGCTTCAGTACATCAGATGCTAAGTACAGCTGTAAGGGGGTCAATAAGTATACAAATGCGATCGATAGAGACACCTATTTGCGTGCTCTTCGCAGCAAAGTAACAGGGTCCGCGACAAACAGAGGTTTTCGTGCAAGGGGATAGAGTATACGCAGGTGAAGAATGCCTTCGCAAACTTTTATGGTAAGCGGAAAGTCTGGACGATGGTGTAAGCACAACATATTTATAGACATCTAAGTATGATTATGTTTGTATGTACATATTTCGCAATCGTTCAGGTACGATAGTTTATCAATAATCTTTAACCAACAAAAAATATATGGCCTTAAGGATAAAGGAGCTAATTTAATTTTGTATCTATCGGAATGTATTTATCACACAGACACAATCACAAGGTCGCTGTTTATAACGCTATTGCTTGCTGAGGAAATAAATAAATAATTGCGTGTGTGTGTGTTGCAACGCCAAGAACTAAAATAATCGAATGTGTTGCCAACTTTAAAGTATGAATGTTACGAAACACTATCACTTATACATAGAATTTTAGGTAAAAATAAAATAGCAGAAGATGTTTGCTTGAGAGCAGGTGAAATGTTCGTGCGAGCAAAAATTATCCTAAGCATAATGAGAAGAGATAATGGATATTTTGTCACAAATCAAAGTAAGGTAAATATTTCGGTTCTTCGGAAAACATCCGAAGGCGACAACGCCTTAAATAGGCGACAACGCTTTAAATAAACGGAACGTGAGAGCTGGAACGAGCTAACAACGCCAACCCACACTTTTAAAACTCAATGTTCATTGACTGGATACAGATCACACCACTTGTTAGATCACGTGTACAAAGATCTCCTCAACCGTTAGTATAAAAGGGCGTGCACAACCCAAATTCGTCAGCGAAGTGAAGTGAGTGGACGTAGACGAAGTAAAGCTTAAATGATGAAAAGCTACGAAAACTCAAAACGAAACAGCACGGACAAAGAAGACAAACTAAAGACAAGGAAGATCTAAAGGCTGAAGTGAACTTGAGTAAAACCACTACAAGAAGACGAACATAGTTATTTTAGGTTGACTGTAACGATTCCCTACCTCGCGTAGAAAACGGAATAAAATCATATATTCCTAACATGAATAATGTGAATCCAATAATTCAATGTATTCAATATTTTAATTCTAAATGAATATTACTAGCTATTACATGGTTTTTGAGTACTTTGCTATAGATTTTTGACCAAACTCGCTGCGTGAGTATGCACGAAACGTTTTCCTAACAAAAGCTGCGACTAGTTCATCCCCCACAAATACTGGCAGAGCGCCTCCAGTTTGCCACTGTTTCATTTTAAAAGTATATGGAATGATTTGGTCTAAGATGCAGTGTACAAATCGACCGCCCGTACTCAAATGGCACTCGCCTTCCTGAATCGCCCGTTATATACACTTCCAATGTTTCAAACCGCTTCGTAACAAGATTGCAATACACAAACATGGATCATCTGCATCAATATATCTGCCGTATAGGGGGACGTTGTTTTTTTTTGTATTGTAACTGTATTGATCAAACCCTAACACAGCAGCAATATCACCAGTAAACCAAATACTTGTTTGTTTTTTAACATCTACCGTTACTTTACGTGTATGCTTATTATACGTTAATTGTGCAAAGACACCGAACGCGTTTGAAAATTTCACGCAGTCCTGTATTAGGTGTTTGCGGCCAAAGCAGTTTCCCAAGTTAACATGACAAGGGTGTCTCTTATTTGCTCGGCAACAAAGAGAAAATAACGATTTTTTAAACCAATTTGGATGATCGATCGGCAAGTAAAGGTACGTTATGTCGTTATTACTTAGCTATTTTAGTTAATCGAGTAAAACCTATTTGTTTGATGGGGTTTATAACATGGCCTTTCATTGAAGGTGGAATGACCCCCCACAATTTTTTAAAAAATTAATTTTTTAAAAAAATTTTCCCCCTCCTAGAGTATGAAACTTTGATCCTATGTTGATTTTACATTTATATTATACATGTAACGGCTGTTTTAGGATTATTAGACGTTCGTGGCTTCGTTGCCATGGAAACGTATTTGTTTACCCTTTGTTTTTGGCCAATAGCTTCAAAATTATTGCCCAAAATTAACCCAAATAAATGTGGGGTAACTATGAAGGACTGGGTTCTATTTTAAACTATTCCCAGGCCTCTCCGGATCCAGTACGCCATATTAGCAAAATAAAATCGAAGGTCCTTTATATTCAAAGATATTTTCAAAAATAAAATGGGTAAATTTGCCTCTAAAAGGCGCAATAAACGGCAATTCTCTGGAAATCGCTCTACAAAACATCCTCGTGTTGATAATGAAGAAGGGGGCGATGTAAAAAAAAAAACAGAAAAAAGACGCTGGAAAGAAGTTTTCTTCAGTGGAAGCCGAGACAAATAATGAGTACATGGCTTCCGGAAATTCAGCTTCTTTTGGAAAGCTGCAGCAACTTATCAACGAAAGGTACTACTGGTTTCAGACTTTGCGATATGGGACTTATTGCTGATGTGTTTTGTCTGTTTAAATGCCCAGAGTGTGATTGTGTTGGTCTTTCCCTCGAAGATGATGATGTAAGTCGCAAAGGCTGTGCCTCAAAGCTTCGTTTATGTTGCCCAAACTGCAGTTGGAAGCATCTGTTTTGGACATCTAAGCGAACAGAAAAAAGCTTCGAAGTAAACAAGCGTCTTGTTTATGGCATGCGGAGAATAGGGAAAGGTCATGCGGGGCCTCGAAGTTCTGTTCTATTATGAACATGCATCTTGGCAGAGAAGGGGACATTCTACGCTGAATGGATGTGTTACCGTTATCTCCATGGAGACGGGGAAAGTTCTCGACGTTGAAGCCCTGACCAGCCATTGTAAAGAGTGCAAGTACTATGAAAAGCTGGAGAAAAATAGTAAAGAATATCGAGAATGGAAAGCCAAGCACACTAAGTGTAAGGCAAATTATCGAGGATCTGCTCCGGCCATGGAACCAGAAGGAGCTTTGCGAATGTTCGAAAGGTCAGTGGAAGACAATAATCTGCGATACACAAATTTTTACGGTGATGGGGATAGTAAAAGCTTCTCTGAAGTAAAGAATACCTATCCTGGCATTGAAGTGTAGAAACGAGAGTGTATCGGCCATGTCCAGAAAAGAGTAGGAACGGCACTCCGAAAATTGAAGAAAGATAATCCTGGACTGAGTGGTAAGGGCAAGCTGACAAATGCCATGATAGATAAGCTACAGAATTATTATGACATTGCTCTTAGGTCCAATGTTGGAGATCTGGGTAAGATGGCAAAAGTCATCCATGCTAGTCTCTTCCATTGTGCTTCAAGTGATGCGAACCCTTACCATACCTTCTATTGGTAGTGATAGCTGATGTCGTTACCAACAAGACGAAGCAAATGGGACAAAATTATACAGACATGGTCCTGGTCTTCCAAAGAACATCATTAAGCTGGTTAAGCCTGTGTACCAGAGACTTACTGATAACAGTCTTTTGGAAAAATGCTTGCACGGGAAAACGCAAAATCAGAACGAGGCTCTGAACGCTCTAATATGGCAAAGAATTCCCAAGGAAGTCTTTGTTCACAGAGACTGCCTAGAGTTTGGGGTGTATGATGCTGTCTTACACTTCAATATTGGTTGCAATGCAATTGTTGAACTTTTCAAGTCAATGAATATTCCTGCTGGTAAAGTACACTGAATTCGCCTGTCATGCTGAAGACAAGTCTCGTGTATCGCTCGCACAATATTTGTCTATACTTTGATTTTTGGCTTGTTCACTTGAACTCATAACATTAATTGGGCAAAACAAGTCTAAACCAAGTGAGTCAAGTGTGATACTGTTCATTTCACCTTTTACTGTGCTTTGCCTTGTCAATATATGATCATACTATCTTAGATTATTAAAAGTACCATCTGTGTTATATTGAAGTCCTCAATTGCTCATGTAATTTAGCTCATGTGGGAAAGTTAAAAGGGTTTATATTTATGATTGGATCAATATGTACTTTCATTCTATAATTAATCATATTAAGTTCATATATCATAAGTTTTATGCTATAAATAGCACACTTTTTATTTTATTTTATTTAGGATGGTTGAACTACCTTTTATTTTATTTTATTTAGGATGGTCAGAAACTATGTATGCAAAACTCAACGTGCAAACTGGAATGAGGATCAAATGCGTCTTGTTTATCTCTGCAGTTGAGAAGAAAGAACTGTCAATACGAAAAGCTGCAACTGCCTATGGAGCACCAAAGGATGCATTAAATCGCCGAGTCAACGTAGGCAAAAAAATGTATCACTAGAAGAAAGGCATAAAAATGCTTTATGACGTTATTGAGCTGTTCTTACACTTGATCAAGAGAAAGCGTTGGAGAATCACATTACTAAGATGGATCAAGTATTCTATGGTCTATCTATCAATGGTCGTGACTTTGTGAATGGTTTTCTCAAGCGTCATCCTATAAATTATCTCCTCGAAAGCCAGAATCGATTTCAATGATTCGTGTTTTTGGTCTGAACAGAGTTTTTGTAAATAGATACTTTGGAAATTTAAAAGCAGTGGTTGATAAGCATAACTTTAAACCACATGAAATTTTCAACTGCGATGAAAGTGGTTTGACATGCGTCCACAAACCGGTTAAAGTGGTTGCACCAAAAGGCAAACGAACAGTTTCATCAACAACTAGTCTCCACAGGCAAGGTAAAGCCAATATTTGATCGATTGAGTGAGAAGAGTCTGTTGGAATGATGCCTTGATGGGAAAACCCGGAATCAAAATGAGTCGTTCAATGCCATGAATTGGGTTCGTGTAGCAAAACAAGTATTTGTTGTTTAGGTGTTTATAGCCTGCGAACAGGCTCTCAAGCTGAATTGAGAGCCTGCATCGATGACTAATGAATTTGAATATCTGAGTCTCAAATCGTGACGCGAAATTCTCATTGGTCAGATGCTATAATTTATATGTTTCCGCTGAGCTCTATATATGTCAACTGCTGAATTATGCATAAAAAAACACATTAACTGATCAAATTGGTCTTGGCCGTCTTATCTCAAAGCACGAAATGTTCTGTTCTGAGAAAACAGTATTTAAAACATTTGAACTTTTGCTTGAATATCTTATATTTCGAAAAACAGTATAAACTGCACGGTCTAAATTTAATTTGCACGGTCTAAATTTAGTTTGCACAAAAGTTGTAAACAACACCATATAAGGATAGACATTCCATATTTGGAAAACGAACGTTACGGGGCAGATATTCAAATTCATTAGTCATCGATGCAGGCTCTCAATTCAGCTTGAGAGCCTGTTCGCAGGCTACAACTGTCTTATAAAAACACAGAGAACAATCTGATTTAAATTTATTGTCAATGCTGGCATTTTTCGCATTTCTTCCCTGTTTTTCACCGGTTATCTTTCGGCTTTCCCAGAGTTCTGTATATAACATGCATTATGATTGTTGTTATTGTGAAATCTGATTGCATTTAACCCACAAGACTGGATATCAGGATTCAAAGTTCTGGTAATACTGGTATCCCATCTGAGAATCCAGTATCCCACTTCTGGATACTGGTTACCACGATTTTTGGCATCCCTGAACCATTAAAGGTTCCAAGTGTATATAGTACATTTCTCTCATTGTTATAAATTACAATAACAACAGGAGACTCGACAGCCAACAACTACAGAAAACCACCAAGTTAGAAATCAAAGGCTGGTTATTTTCAAGAAAGCGGACTCATATTATTCAAAGCTATTGACAGACCAAGGCATTTAGCATTATCCTAATGTTTGAAATTTTTAGTAATTTTGTAGTATCCAGTTGGGATAATATCCAAACCAAACCTTAAGGCCCATTTCCACTCAAGAAAAATTTCCACAGACAGAACATTTTTCGAAAATATCATTCGGATTCCAAAATTAATTTTGTTTGTCTTGGATGTGCACGCATTAATTTGAATCACTTCACTACGTTTGAAATGACATTGTTGATGTGCCATTCAATTAGATTTCAAATGACGCGAGCCAACAGATCACAACACTTTTGTATATAAAAAGGGGGCGTGAATTGAACATTACAAGTCATATATTATTAGCACTGATGAAGATCCGGGCTTACGGATCAAAAGCTTTGCAGTAATAAATTTACGTGGTGTTTCCACAAACAAAAAATATGTTTTATTGCCATGCAAACATACCAAGAACTTGAAAATATCATTGTTTCAAATTTATAAGTTTTGTGTTGGCCTTATCACATTTTACAATTTTTTTTTCTGTGGAAAATTTTCTTGAGTGGAAATGATCCTTTAATAGTGGATATCGGGATACTACAAACTTCAGGCCCTGACCCATCAAGTTGCATTCCCCTTCTTCCCACCTGCCAAACACACCCTACTTTATTACTTTACAGTACTCTGTCTAACATACACCAGATGATTTTACTCAACCAGGGGATGATTTTACTCATTAATTTAATTAAACAGAGTAAAATAATAAATTAATGGGTTAACTAAACACATGGGCAGATAGCCCGGTTAACCAATTTAGCACCAGTTCTGTCCTTGATGAGTAGGGCACATTGGAGCATACTGCAATTTAATGCATCAAGTAATTATACAGTATTACAATTGTAATGAAAATATTGTGAACATTCTGTACTACCTTCAACATGCGCACTTCTCTCATTGCAATTTTCTTAACCATTTTATCATCTTCAGACTCTAAAAACTTCTTAATTGCAACAATTTGATTGGACTTGTGGCGACACTTCATCACCATGCCATAAGATCCTTCTCCAACTAAACCCAAGTTCTCATACTTTTCCATGGTCAAAATATCATGTGTAAAATGCAGTCGGGTACATATGATGTTCACCATGTAACCACATGATCTCTGATTGTGGTTTATTTATCTTACAAGTATTGTCCAGCTTGACCAATGAATACTGTAAACAATATTTCATTTCAAATTAATTGTCAACATTTAATAAGTAGCTGAGACAAATGACGAACAAAATTCTAATTTAGCCGTTGTTAATGCATTTGTAAACATTTATTGATTTGGGGTAGATATATTACGTATTAAAATTTCTATAAATTTTCGTTAATTGCTAAACAGTAACGGCTTCGGTCAAGGATATTTTGTTAAATATTATAATCGAAAGGTTTTCTCAGCTTCATTTCAAAATTAAACGACAGAGGACCTAGTGATTGAAGTTTTAATTTTCAATGACAGTTAGTGACCAATCGATAAGCTCCTTAGTGTAGGATAAAATGCATTAAAACGTTTTTCTTTTGGATTTTATTAACTGCAATAGCAGACACCGAGACACGTACGCTTTGGGGTCAAAGATTTCTATAACATGCGGTTTACCGATAAAATATCGATCATACTAAGATTAACACGAACAGGAGGTGAGAGTACAGGGAAAGAACTACATTTCACCAGTAGTTTCTAGCAATTTTCGATCGCTTTTATCGTCCAATCGTCCACTATTTTACAAAGCCGTCGACAAACGATTGTTAGCCATGACTATAGCACGAATTTCGTTTGTGGGCACAAACGAGAAAATATTTACCTTTTCTGTGACTTCTTCTGCAAAAAATCCTTTGCCATCCTTGTTTTCATGCCATGGTTACATTAATATCATATATATGAGAATATTTTTGACAGCAAAAGGCTTACAGATGTTTGCTAAGAGTAGTTGTAAAAAGATCTGATAAAGCCATTATGGACAATATGGTCGGTAACCATGGTGATAGTCAAACTATAAATAGTCTGCTAAACGACGCGCGAGGAACACACGCGTGTCTGCGCAGAAAACTATTATTTTTAATTTTACAGTATTCGAATTCATTTTATTTGTTGGTTTTCATAAATTTTCGTATTTAATACCTGATTAACAATAAATAAACAAATGAATCAAAACAATGAAACAAATAAGATTAATATTAATATTATATTTTATTCAGTAATTTTGAATCAAATTCTTCAGATGTGGGTCTTCACCGGCTTAAACATTTCCAAATGTAAAGTTCTGCAGATCACTAGAAAACATCGCAAGATCATTAGATCAAGTATCCATACACTTTACAAGATAGCATGTTTGAAAACGCTGAAAATGAGCGTGATCTGGGCGTATGGATATCAAACAATTTGACCTGGCGCAAACAGATATTCGGCAAAAGCAAATAAAATGTTGGGTTTCACCAAAAGATCAACAAGAACAACCAAAAACTGTAATTCTGTAAATCCCGTCGGACGCTATATATAACACTTACACACACATGGGATATGCTACACAAGTTTGGTCTCCACAAACCATCGACCTCACCGGCTCGCTTAGAATCATTGACCTCATCGCTCCAAATACATCTTAGTCCTTAGATCTACCTTTCCTTTGTGAGAGAAGCTACACCCCAAAGCAGTGTTGTAACGAGTCGAGTCATTGACTCGGACTCGAGTCGACTCGAGTTGCCATTTTCAGCGACTCGAGTCCAAAACGAAAAATGACTCGACTCGAGTCAACAGCCCCAAATGACTCGACTCGGACTCGACTTGCTGATTTTGCCGTAAATGACTCGAGTCAACTCAGCTACAACTTGTAGAGAATAAATTCATCAAAATTATTGTGATTGTGTTGCTTGGGAAAAACAATGAGCCCTGTGAACAATGAGAACTTCGAAACTTTATCAGAAAATATATGGGATTTGCATAGAATACAGTATATTCCTGACGGGCATGCCTATGTTACATTTCTGTTTTTAGAAACAACGCTAGTGCCACAGCTTTTAAAATGGAGTCTCAAAATTTTTTGTACTTATGCTAATTCTGACCGGCTATCTTCATTTTTGGTATTTATGAAGTGCTATATAATTTCAAATTAACTTACAAAGCATGGTTAATTAAAGTATATTCTTTGTTAATTCTGACTCCAGTTGCAAGTTATGCTAGTATATACGTACACTCGATCAGCAGGCATGATGAGACATCTCATATGGTTGTACTTAATATTGACTAGAACTGTGATATTGGTACAGCCTATGGCTCATGGCTGCCCAGATACTGTTATTACATGACTAAAGTGATTAGCTTAAAACGTAGATTTGATTACTAATTTCAAACTGCAAACTAAGGTAGCGAACCATTACAAAAAGCGTGAGGTGGACCATTCTCGTCCCCAGAGCCATTTTCACTCGGTCACTCGTTGAAAAGTACGCTGTGGGTTAGGCGACTAAAGCGAGAGATCTGATTGGCTTCTCAGAGAAATCCTATTTCGCAGAAGTTGAGCAGTTTTAGCTAGGAAAAATTATTCTATCAACATATGTCAACGCAAATACTTCGTTTCTTCGTAATACTTCACTTTGAAAATTGTTACGGGTGCTAAAGTATCCCAATTCAAGACCATGCGCTTTAGAAACTACTGTAAGTTTACTTGCACTTCCGGTTCCGTATGTTCCAGGGCCTAGGGAGGACGCGCGCGGCCGAGAGGCCCTGGGGACAAGGATGTGGGTGGACTTGATCAAATTCCCTGACTCAAGTTAAGTCTAGCTATTGACTCGACTTAAACCAATGACTCGACTTGACTCGAGTGAAACTGCTGACTCGACTCGACTCGAGTGAAGCCACTGACTCGACTCGATCAGAAACTGAAATGACTCGATTCGTGACTCGACCTTTGAGTGACTCGACTCGTGACTCGACCTATAGGTGACTCGTTACAACACTGCCCCAAAGGCTTATTGACTTGGTCTTTCTACCTCCAAGTATTATTGGCATGAATATCTAGACCTGTTATTTTTTAACAAAGCAAATTGTGGTATCATGTGCCTCTCAGATACATTTCTTCCAAAACCTAATGAAAATTCATGAATTACAAGATCGGTGGATCCGAACTCCATAAACGTCCAAGTTAGGAAATGTAAAACTTCGACCTACCAACCGATTTATACAGTAAGAACAACAAGAATATGGAACATATTACCAGGATCAATAACCGATAAATCTAACTCTCTACTAACCTTTAAAAGTCTCTTCAATAAATATTACTATACTCAGTATACTGCATTAGATAGAAATTATAACGTGGATTATCCTCGATCGTGGAAAACAATTTGCCTGAAATATAACCAGGTCCGGGACCGAACTAAACCTATTGCATGTTGTTTTTAAATTAGATCTGTATGTTTTTACACATATATGTGTCTATGTGTATGTTTGTGCAATACTGTACTTGTAAATTTGTACGTTTTGTGATCACAGTAATTGACCCAAAGCTGTTGTGATTTCCTGTCACATTTCTAATGTTAGATATGACAAAGTTGTGACAAAGTTGTGAAGCTGTTGTGACAAAGCTTGTAAAATTAAAACATTCATTTATTATATTCATGTTCATATTTATATATTACAATGTCTCTTCAACACAATATAGTTACTGTATAGAGTTACTATATATTTCCAGTCTTCCACTACCGTTACCATTAACCAATCAGAGGCATATAATCTACCCGATTAACCAATCAAATTAATATTAAGTCTATAGTCTGTGGGAGGTGACATAGCGGTGGTGTAAATATCCTCATGTTTCGCGCACAATAGGGTTAGGGTTAGAGAAGGGGCTGGGATCCGGATTGGGTCAAGATCAAAGAGAAGGGGCTAGGATCCGGATTGGGTCAAGATCAAAGAGAAATATATTCGTGCGCGAAACATAAGAATATTACCAAGGAATGAAAATACCTCGTATTCAGGGCATCAGCAAATGAAACGCAGCATGCGGAACTATGATGATACGAGGTGGTGCATGAAACCTATGACAAAACCAATTACAACGTCATGTCATTTTTGCCGGGGGGAGGGGCGCGTTTTGATACCAAGGATATTTTTCTTCGCGAAGCAACTCTATTTCCTCTCTCACAGATCCCAATATTTCCCCAATTTCTAATCCAACTACTGCATTTTGAAATTATTTTTCTCGAAAGACAGCTTGGACACACCATGCAAGTGATGTATATACCAGCTAACGTCTGCTGTTATTCCGTTGCATTGGTTTGTAAGCATGGTGAGTTACATGTAGACAATCAGTGATGGACAAGCTTAGACAGATAGAAAATTTATAACTTTTATAACGCTATTCTTGGGTTTCATATGACGTCACAAAAGTGACGGGGGTCAACTCTAAAACAAAACACAGTTATCAGAGTGACTGAGTGAGTCGATTGTTCGTTTTATGTATTAGCCTTGTGTTTGGTGGCAAATACATGGAATTTCGTATCATTTTCTCACTTCAGTACAGCATAAGCATCAATACATTTGAGTTTGACCCCCGTCAGATTCACTGCATAATGCCGTAGTGAAACCCAAGAATAGCAATGCACGTGACGAGAACAAACCAATCACATTATCACAACGTACAATTAGATTCAGACCCATGCAGCGTAAGAATAAATACGATAATCCTAAGGCCATGGTTATCATATACTAGTATTTAATGTTTGGTTTATTCTTGTTATGTGATTATAAATCAGTCATAAAATTGGCATTGAAGTCACATATTCTACAGTATACAACACGTAAACTCGCTTATCAAAAGGTCGACCTTTGAATGTTTAGGCTAGCGAGTACTCACCCATGCAATAAGTTTGATATTTATACAAAAAATAGTTTTCGGATTCAGAAGTTCGTCCTATAAGTACGTTACCCAACCACATACTAATTATTCATTAGGTTCCCTGTAAGCAGACAAACGTTCTTTTAATGTTGTGCTAGTACTCATTGACGCAATTAATTCGTCTATTCCACTCTCCAGTAATTCAAGTCTTTCTTCAACAGCAACTCTACAAATAAATTGAAGGTAATAAAATTGGGATGGGCCGTCGTTTCCTAGGACATCGGAAAGGACGATTCCGAGAGTCCTGCATGACGTTTAGAACAGAAATATTGAGTGAAAGAAGGGTGATACCTTGCTCTTTTTTCATCTTGTAGTCGTAATATTAGCATATCTCGAATTTTCTTTTCATCTTCTAATTTTGAAGTAAGTTGAGCAATTTCAGCTTCAAACTGCCTGCGTTGAAGTTCAAGTTCATTCTCTAGTTCAGCAAAATCGGTTGGCTCTAGAATAATTTGTTATACAGATATGCACCCTCAGTAGAATGTTTAAACTATATAGTGATTAGTATAGATCAAATATTAATCTATTATGTAAGAACGCAAAATTATCAGAGTCTCTTAATTTATATATTTAAGACACGGATGGATTTACTATGGGATGAGGGGGTGTGCACCGGACTGCACCCCTGTTAGTCGTGGCAAAGGATGTGCAAAGAGGGTGCAATGCTGAAACTGTTGACATTAGCACGGACGTGACTACATATGTAACGTGGAGCTAGAGAGTACTTTAGAAGCACGAGGCTATATACGTTATTTACTGTTTGTACAGTAAAAGTTGTTTGGTATCTATTGTTATAAAGTGTTTGATATCGATACGAAATCACGAACTGGAACATTGCAGGGGGGGGGTCATTTTAAGACAATACACCCTTCCGGAAAAATATCTCACTTTATTGGCTATAGACCCTCGTTTTCGTGTATGTGCCATCAGTTGAAGCTCAACCTCTCAATAACGAAATCGACGTTCTGTAGCCAAGGTAACATTCTTTCCGGGAGCGTGTATTACAAAAACAAAATTAAAAGAGAGACAAAAAAGACATTTACAGTATATACTGTAATTAAACATGAATTGACATGCAACTTGCTCCATGCCGTATAGCTCCGCCTATATAGTGATTACACGACGGCACCACTACACTATAAGTGTAGAATGTTTCTTCCAAATTTATATCTTCCAGATATTAACAAAGTAAACATAAATAAAAATACCATCGTCATCCTTCACTGTGTCAGGAGTATCTGTGGGACTCAACATACTGAAGTCAAATCCATGATTAATGGTCGGACTTCCAGCAGAATCCATATATGTGAGATCAATGAGATTTCCTTCCCGCCTAAATAAAAATTACAATGGAACAGTTCATAGATTGGTTTGTTTTCCACGTAGTTGTTCCGAGATGATGTCATATTGAATTAGGTCGCTTTTACGAAAACTTCTTTCTTAGGATTTCATAGGTTATTATTAGGACGAGGTAAGGATAAGGCGATATATTTGATATTTGTATCCTTTAAAAAAAGATGCTATAGTTTGCTTAGATTTGTAACTCATTTATATGTTATAATTATACTATGTCTTTCTTAGCATACGTCGAGAGCTAGAGTTCATCTTTTTCAGGGATTAAAAGCTTTTAGACAAATTACCATTGCCGGCAATTTTGTTCATCTATAAAACCCGTATTACACAAAGCTCCTCATTTTCTTGCTGAATCCTGCAACACAATGCAATTTCTGGCACAGAGGCATGATGTTATACAGTATGAAAAACGTATGTTCACGGTAAATTGATATTATGTGCAACATTTTACGTCGCCGACTTTTCCTCGCGTAACCTACCATAGAAAAGAAAATGAAACATATCAGAAAAGTCGACAGAAGCCCAAGCTCACCGATTTACTATAGTGTTACTTTCACACAACGTGGTTTTATGCCGATGCATGTTGGAAAACTTGCCTAGTATTGCCTCGTATAATATTGGCCTTATTAAATTACTGGTGCTGTGGTGCATAATCCACAATTTACAAATCTAAATTGAACTTACTTAAAAAACAGTACAAAACTACGCCCTCCAGTACCAGTTTCAAATCGGTATTAAGTAGAATTGACTGATACAGCGTAATAGTATATTAGTAAGTAATAGAACTCAAAGCAAAAAGGTACAACACTGTACCGAAACGCAGTTGCGAACACTATATACATGCATGTATAAGACAGGAGGAACTGATTTTAACATACTCTCGTCTGCGACGTAGAAATTCTTCTTCATCTTCAGTCTTCTTAAATAACACTTGTTGTTTGCAAATGAATATTTTGGTAAGTTTACTTATCAATGTTGAACTTTCCATCAGCATTTGTGGATCAGCTTCTGACTATATTACACGAAAACAAAGAAGAAAATATTGATGTCTTCACTAGTATCCACGCGTGGTTGCTAAACGATTAATTACTTATTTAATTGATCATTTGGGAATTAAAAATATGGACCATTGCGAACATTAGAGACGTCCAATGCAAAAAATGTACAATAAACAGTACTTACACGAATAATAATTGTACATACATTTATCAGTACAACAAAGAATCTGATATGGGGATTTCATGGTGTGCATGCAACCTGGTTATAGACTTAGGGGCTGATTACATGGAGAGTTTTCAGCCCGGGCTGACTTTCAACCCGGATAAACGAGCTGAAATTGCATCACGATTACATGAGCAGTTTGAGCCTGAGCTGAGTTTAGTCAGAGCTACATTTATAGTCAGCCCGGGCTGAAATAATCTGAGTGTCACGAAATGGGACAATAAGCCTGTTACGCTTCTTTGAAGCAATCAGACGCGGATTAGTCGACTATTTGACTTGTGTGAGGCTGTGCAGTTATATGTAAAGCATTTACAGATGAGACAAACACGCAAAATAAAGCCATTTAAACGGTTGTTTTTTAGCCCGGGCTGAAATTATTTGCGATTACGTGATGCCTTCAGCCCGGGCTGAAATTTCAGCCTGGGCAGCTTAAACCGGGCTGAAATTAGCCCGCGTGCAGGCCCAAGGGAAGACCTTGGGCCTGCACGCGGACTAGGCTGAAATTTCAGCCCGTGCTGAAACTCAGCCCAGGCTGGAATTTTGGTCATGTAATCGTTTGCTGTGTTTTTATAGGATTTTATCCTTTGGCCAATTTCAGCCCGGGAATCCAGTAAATCAAGATCTTCATCCAGTGAATAGACATCCAGTAAATCAAGATGTGCTCTGCGAAAGTCTTGTTCTATCTTTTGTCATTTTATGCAAACGTGCATGCGTATACAATGAAGGCGATGCATTTTTGGATAATGATGCAATCATTTAATGGCATCGTATAAATAAACGATTTCAACATTATTTGGGGGAGTTGTGGAATAAATCATAGCATTATTAACTGTCCACAGGATTTTGGCCTGGATTGTACGTAAATAGCAGACTAAACTCATCGGTAAGGGGCAGCGCGGAAAGTGCCATTCATGGAAGAAACGATCCTTGAAAAAAATACCATGGTCTGTTACATACTATGTGTATAAGAATACATTACAGAAGATACAGCAGCATGTCTTACCTCAGGACTTAGAATATTAGGTCCAAATACTAATGCAAGGTTATCAGCTGTCATCTTATTCTCTACAGAATGCTCGTGGACTTGATGAAGAAAACGACTAAAAGTAATTATATAACACTTAAGTCGTATTGATGCGTCTGCCTCGTGGTTTTAAATATATTGTCAAGAATGTTGAATATCAAACAAAAGAAAAATATACAAAGAAGTCTTACTTACCACAAGTACTTCAACAAATTGAAATTACTTTTTGGTATTTCTTCGAGTTGATTACGAATTTTTCTTAACGCATCCTCCTCATGTAGTTCGTATACTAAAAACGAAAAATTAAATTTTGAGATTTCGGGAAAGTATAATAAACGAGCCATGGGTACAGTATAGCAAACTTGTTGCGTCATTCTACACTCATGCCCACAGCTCATTTCTCTTTATATACTCATTGTTTTTTACTGAGCATTAGACAAAATCGATTTTTTTAGTCGGAATGAACGATTTAAGGTGATTCATCAGTTTTGCATTGCGCACTTTTATCGCGCATATATCTAATAACAAATTCTAGCTAATATATGTAGTCGAATTGCAATGTAAAGTGATAAAGAAAGAGTAAGGGCAAAGAGAAAAACACTCTGCATTGAGTATAGGCGTGCTTCAGGAAATATACCTTCAAAAATGACAGAACGCTGGCTAGGGCTCCGGTGCAACTAACATTAAACCCATACTAAACCACATCATGTTGCATGTTTAACCCTTGTATCTCTTTAAGAAGGTCCGTGACTCTACTTTTTATTTTATATTTTTGTTCTTCTATGTGTTTTACATGTCACATGTGAAAATAAGAGAAAAATCCTTTCTATAACTTATAATATTTTACATTTTTCGCGCATGCTTCCCAAAATAACATGTCCATGTCTGAGAATATGGGAAAAGACATCTTTGCATGTACCATGCTAAAATACCATGCTTTCTTGTATTTAGGGAATGACTGCACCTGCCAATCAGCTTCGAGTATTTCATTGCTCTATATCTCACAGTGTGCTAAATCATCAAGTGGCGAGGGCTTTGAAGCGTAGGGAAAATGTTTGGTTCAGAAAACAAAAGGTTTAATAAAAAGATTAATTAAATCATTAGCCACTCTATTGAATTCATTAACCACTCTATTGAATTCATTATTGACTCTATATAGAGTCACTAGTGACTCTATATATAGAGTCACTATAGTGAGTCTATATAGAGTCACTAATGAATTCAATTAATGAGTGGTTAATGAATTCATAAAAAATCACACCTAAAGCAGTACAAGTTGTCCAAAATTTACAAACACAAGCATTTTCGTTATAATTATAGCATTAACAGGCACATACACCAATTCCCACCCAAATATACTAACTTCAATATGCCGTAGTTCAAGTCATAATTCAGTACTTTTCATTTCACTCAAAATTCAAATTTAATGTAGTATCCCCATGAGTTAACGTCACCTGCACTTTAGACGATAGGTCTTTCCTTTGCTCCTTGCACACTTCTTTTTTCCGACAACTTCGTTGGATTCTACTTCTTCTCCACTTGCAATTAGACTCTTTGGTGTTTGTAAGACATTTGTTACTTTTTGCAGCAATTCATCGCTTGGCCCTGGCCTCGAAATAAATCCGGATGTTATACCGGTCATTATATGACCGGTGGATCACTAAATTTACCGGTCACGGCGGAATTTATGCCGGTCATTGTCACTCCTTAGCTTCTTTTTTCCCCTCATCTTTGGCGTGACTCGTAACTTTAGAAACAATTGTGTATTTTAATTGTATTTGTATACAAAGTAGAAATATGCATGGCGTTTATCAAAGCTGTAGAAGTAGTAATTACAGCGCAATTTACACATGAATATTTCGTATTTGGACGCTGACAAACAGAGCAATTGCTTGCCATTCTTGCTTGTTAAGTCGCAAATGACAACTGTAATTTGAGTTGCGAGCATGCTGCAAGGCTGCGTGCTGCTTACGCGTTTTCACAATTGAAATCGCTTTACATCCTACTTATGAAATAATTAAATTTATAAAAGGACAGCATTCAGTTTTGTGTATGATTTAATGCGCATTTGTTAAGGTTATAACTTATTTGCACTAATATGAAAGATTTAAACTTTTCTGTCGCACGCGTGCAAAACGCGTAACATGAAAACAGCCCTTATCGTATCCGTATGACAAAATGTGTCACTTCGCCGCCCTTATTAGCCTGCGCCCTAGACGGACATACACTTCTTTGGAAACTTGGAAATCAACAATCTGCTCCATTTTTGAACGTACGTTTTTATTAAAAAATTTACCGGTCACACATGTCCGCCAGGCGACGATATTTGCCTGTCAAACTGTGAAATTTTACCGGTCTGTGACCGGTGACCGGCACTTATTTAGAGGCCCAGTGGCTTGGCCCTTTATAACTTTGTACTGCCGTACTTCTGTCTCGTTCTCGCCATCACGCCCCTAAATAAGTGCCGGTCACCAGTCACCGACCGGTAAAATTTCACAGTTTGAATAAATGTAAAATCCGGCATATAATGACCGGTATAACATCCAGATTTATTTCGAGGCCTGCTCGCCATAATCGTTCGCTAATAAAACTAACCACTCTCGCACAGTTGGTTTGTACGCAATTGTAAGCACGAATACACAACTTATTCTTCCGTCAACCATTATTATAACTTTAATTGCATGCCTTGAATTCCTTCGTGGATGCAGTCATTCTCTAAGACTGTTAGAGCATGGTCACTTGTGCTCTATCGGATATAGAGTCCCTCGAATTAGTTAAAAGGCCACTCGGGGCCTACGGCCAATCGTGACCTTTTAAAATTCGAGGGAGTCTATATCCCATAGAGCACACGTGACCATGCATGCTCTAACCATTACATAATCACTAGATAGACATTTTTAGTAGGTTGAGCAATTGCGATTGTTCCTGTAACTCGTAAAAGGATCAAGATGGCGCCATATGGGGGAAAGGCGGCATGTTGCACTTGACATGTCATATCTTCGAAACGAGTTCGGTGACTCGAACATTTTTTTCTGTTTTTACTATGAGCATATCATAAACGTCACCCCTGGGAAGTTTCAGCAAATTCTCATTTCCAGAACAAGTACTGATGAATAATCTTAAATGGTTTTATTCGACGCAAGACTACTAGCCTGCCGCACACGAGAGAACCTTGCTGAGTGAGCTAAGTGGCGGTTAACTCTGCAGCAATTTTGTCCCGTATGCGGATAGTTTTGTGAGGATTTAAAGTCTCGACACCCTGAGAAAAACATCTATTGTGTTTGACACTTTTCACCACGTGAGGAATAAATCTCAACGTCTGCGGATGTTGCGAGCTGCTAAGCTGTTGAATTAACTAGCCAATGAAAATCCATAGAGTTTCTTCACGTGACTTTGGTCAAAATGGCGACAATGGAGGGAAATGCAAGCGATCTTACCAACGACGTTGCTGATGACGAGTAGTTTTCCCAACCTGTGCAATGAAAATGCATAGCTGAACGAGCTTGCATGAGTTAACCGCCACGCGAGGCGGATAGCTCAGTAAGTTTCTCTCGAGTGCGGCAGGCTTGACAGAACTTCGAAATTCCGTCGACTGAAATTCAGATGCATTAAATTCGAAGGAAATTCGACATCCAAAACAAGCCATCAGTGAAGTGCGGAAACCGCACCCCATGAGGAAAAGGAGATATAATTTTATTAAGCAAATCAGCATTAAATGTGGGGGGAAATGGAAAAGCAACAATATATAATCTCCTTACGTTCAATAGTTGCAATAAGAGGTCCAAAGTTTTCAAAAGGTATTACAGGCTCGGGCAACTCTCGCAAGTACATTTTTAATATAGAAGCCACTGTGTGAATGTCAATATCACCAGGAAGTACAGGGTCTTTTCCTAGAAATAGAAACACATCGTACTGTATATCATAGAGATTATAAATAACACATTATTTGATAGTGTTATTTATAATCTCTATGCTGTATATCACATGCTATTGTGCCAGAGACGCAAATTGTATTGACATATGACGTCATTGCACTTTACGGCCCAGGAAACAAGGACACATTTATCAAAAACATTGGCTTATAAAGTAAATAATACTTCTGACTATTAAAATGATTACAATATAAATATTGGCTGTAGTATGTCCAAGGCTTAATTTAGATCAAACTTAGAATTGACAATAAATGCAATTATACAACGAAACAAAATGGTTCTGAATTTGGTAGTAATAATTTTGCTTCCCAGGAAGAGACATTCTTTTCACGTCACAATGTTTTAACTTTTGGCGCGTGTGGGCCAACATTTACAGAAACGTCAAACTTTTCACATGTTTTGCAACAAGTAATTGGAGTAATTGAGTAATTGGCTACCGGCCGCTGTTGTGGTGTCCCTGCCACTTTCTCCATGTACTTTTCTATTTTAGTAACTTTATAAGTGTGTTGTCTTTAATGTCTGGTAATCTTGTACTTATTATCTATGGCGAAGCTAGTAAACTCAAATTCAAGTTTACCCAGTCCTTACCTTTATTGAAAGCATCTCGAAGTAGTGCCACTTGTTTTTGATCCCCAGGTAATCTAAACAAGCCTTCTTCACTAAGGCCTAAACGAAAACATACCGATTGTGAATTGAATTACAGTTTATGAGGACAATTTGTTAAAGTATTAACAAACCTTTTTCTCGGATGAATTCCACACATCGTTCAACAAAGATTGGAATATACCCGCCAGTTTTACGAAACTCGTGCATCACAGTCTCCGCCAAATTTCTACCAAACATACCACCTCCAATTGGCTATAACAGCAACATAACTATGAAATTTATGGAACATAACTCACAAGTCATGTCAATATAAGCCCAGTCTTAATCAAAATCTAATCCATGTCTGCTAGTGTTGGATAGCATTTAACAGGAGTGAGGTATTGATGAAATGGGGATTTGTCAGCTCAACCATGCACTGCCCCAGTATGGAGTTTCAACAAAAATATACAAAGTGTACAAAAGCTAGAACGTAATTTCAAAAATGATTTCAGGAATGAAAGGCATGTTTTATATCTTCATGATATTGGGTGATATTCGACCGTATAATGGCAATATATAGTGAGTGGTGCTATTATAACCCGATTTAGCCCTATACTACACGATCGAAGTTTAATAATTTCTTACCGCATAAATAATTCTCTCGATGACTTGCATCCATTTATCTCTCTCCATTTCTGACGAGGCTGATAGGAGGTACGATTCATGATTACTGTTTACTGGACCATCTTTATCAATTCCAGCTGAAAATGTAGGAAACCATTTAATTGGCTGATTATGATCACGTGATATGGAACTAAAATTCCAATTTTACTACCGTGCAATAGTACAGAAACTATAGCACGCTCAGCCGTGCAATAGTACTTGTACTATTCAGTTCAATGATTACATCGCATTACAGTACATGAAATTAATTATACATTACATTACATTATGTCACGTTAAATTATACTATGTTACGTTGTGTTAAAATCTAAATAATTAGTTTACTGTATTTTATACGATGTCGATAATCTGAGCTCATTGGGGATTTTCATTGATTGTTAGCCACATGGCCGGATTTTGAGTTCATTTTGCACCTGATCTAAATATCATGTACCTTCCCTTGGGAAAGGTCAATTAAATGATAGATCAAAGTGAACATTTGACTCAAACGTTTGTGATTTGTACATGTGTTGCTTAGGATCTACGCTTTCCTTTGTAACAAAAGTCTTTCTGTAAATTTGAAACGTGATAGCCATTCATCTCTGTGTCAAGTACCCTTTTAATGCAATGTTTCGAAAGCAATTTTGGGCTAATGTAATGAAGGGCAAAATTGGACGTGTCGTACACTAATAATTCATACATACACTAATACATATGTCCAGTACATGCATACGTTACGTGGTTGACTTTAGACGGCTACGTTCTAAGCCCTACCTATTTCCACCTCCCTTAGCATTTCCACCAAAATCTGGCCTTGCATGGTTAGCCATAATCTATGCACGGATGACACAAATCATCACATACAGATTTTAACAAAAAGTCCTCCAAATGGACGGACGTTTTCTAAAGGACGAAGCACTTTAATTGTTCCGAAAAGCTGTGTAATATCTGAATGACGCCACTTCAGTGACGTTGCAATATATTTAAGCCAATCACATGCAATATCAGTTTTGTATAAGGAAACATTTCATTGTACACCACATTTACATATACAATATTACTGTAACATTACATTATATAGAACATTATGTTTATAATTATGAACATGTTGTTATAGAATGTTACCTTACATTATACGTTTACACGTTACATACGTTTTGAGTCATGTGGTATCCCCAACTCCGTTTGCTGTTTGATTTGGGGTTGTTGCCTTGCAACAATGTACAAATCCAACTTTAATTTTGAAAAATTGTTTTGTACTTACGGATAATTTCCATTTTATATCTGCCAGGATCATTTTGTGGATCGACTGAATGTTTAATAATTTGGTTGCCAGGTAACATAATTTCTCCCAAAGGCCTTCCATCCTGGTGAGAATGTGGAATGTCAGCACATAAAAGTTGCTGGTAAATATAGCTAATGCAACGGATCACGAAACGAAGTTCGTGCGGTTGCTACTACGACATGCAAGGAAGGATGGAATCCCGGATAAGATGAATGGCTGGCTGACTGGGCACCTGCGGCACTACCAGCAAGAAATTAAGACTGTTACAATCAGGGGCCGGTTGTTCAAAGGTGGGTTAGCGCTAACCCTGGGTTAAAATTTAACCTGCTGTTTTAGTTTATGTATTTCTACATGTCTGTTTATTTCAAAATTTCAGAGAAGTAAACTCCTATCGATCCAGACAAGATCTCTGAAGAATATTTCCAAATTCATACACAAACTGTGAGGAAGTTTGCTTTGAATTTTAGGTTAACCTAGGGTTAAACTATAACCTAGCTTTGAACAACCGGCCCCAGTAGTCTATTACGACATCAACACCGATATACATACAAGTTTATAAAATATATAGATCATACTGGTCAGCTACACCATAATATTGTACGTATAAAGTATACCGAAATACAGCACTGTATGCTGGTCAACTACACCGAAACAATATATGTCATATATTGGTCACGTTTTCCGAAATACTGTATGTTATTATATACAGTGGCTATAATGTATACTGTCAAGTATACTGAAGCACTATGTATAAAGGTATTTCAGTGGTCTAAATCACTATCGTTAAGACGTTAACTTCAATTAAACTATAAAACGGGTGATGAAAATGTAGTTAAAAGCATTATGCAACTGAGCGAGAGATTGGTTAAATTGCAGGATGATATGATCAAGTGAGGTACTTTGTCAGCCAGCCAATCATGTGAATAAGTAAGTGCGGGGGTTGCTCATCATCCTTACTTGCAGCTGGGAGCTAAGCTGAATAGACCCTTCCAAGGTTAACAATGCCATTATGAAACAGAATTAGTGCAAGGGGTGCAAGTGCAATGGAATTCCCTATAGGTAAATTTGCAAGGGGTGCAAACACGTTGATGAAAACAATATATTCAAGATGGCGTCCTTAACCTTGGAAGCAGGACATCCTTAACCTTGGAAGCAGGACATCCTTAACCTTGGAAGAAGGACGCAGCTCAACCTGATCGAGACGAAGGCTTTATAAGGGCATCTCTGGCTGTCACCTCATGACGTATGTCTGATCACGGGGCACAGCTGCGATGGGTTGGGATTAGCCCCTAACTGCCCCTTCCACCATCTCAGAGGAAAGCTGAGTACCCGGAAAAAAAACCATGACTGTCGCTAGAGCGTTGGTTGATTCTCTTCACATTTCAGTGCACGCCATGAGTCCGCAGCGAGAATCGAACCCACCATCTCAGAAGCGAAAGGCGCTTGCTCTGGCGGCACCGAAGCCCAATTAAAACCAAAACCAACACCAGCAACTTGGTACAGTTGTATGTTTGGTGTTTCTCTTTATGTTATTATAAACATCAGAGCTAACGTGATCTTGCAGGTGTTAGAAAATCAACCATAAATCCTGATATCTTTTCTACTGCCTAGCAAACTATAAATTGTAAATACTATACCACTGCCTGAACAATACAGGAAATAAACAATCATGAATCAACGAGCAATTCTTACATCTTGTTCTTTATGATAATACAATATATCTCCTTTAATTTCAAACCATCGTCTTCTCCAGGCTTTCAGCAAGCCTCCTTGCTTAGTAAGCCAACCACCGTGGACCTATAATACGAAATTATACTTTTACGCCCGTATTCTAAAAGCTCACTCACACTCAATGAGTGGAGGTTCAGTCTAAGCTTCTCTTGAGTGTCAATGCTGTTTTTGAATAGCTGGAGAGTGAGTAGTCACATAGTAAGGTATGACACTAACCCTCCAGCTATTCAAAAACAGCAATGACACTCGAGAGCTCAGATGAACTTCCATGCACTCATTGACTAATGAGTGTGAGTGAGCTTTTAGAATACGAGCGTAAATGATACTGGATCAAGCCTAGTTTCATCTAGTGGATTTGGTATTCCACTATAAGGTTGACGGAAGGCCACGAGCTTATTAACAAAGGTCTTAGAGGGCCTATATAACGTAAAATAGTATAACATCACAGGTTCTTCTCTAGAAATGAGGGACTAGCTCGCATTTTACTTCTCAGTTATTTTAAAACCACGAGTGTAGGTCCGGCTAACAGACCTTGTCCGCCATTTATGGGTGGCAATTAAGTGTTAAATTAACCAAACGGGGAAAATACCACTAAAACACGGCAACAAGCAAAGGAGCGAATTTAATGAAGCACAAACATATTGTAGCACTATTGTTCATTAAGTACTATTTACTTCACTAAATCAATCGTTTACATGTTGTCATCTTTTGTTGTTGCGCGGTTTGCCACCATGCCAAACACAGTAATATACTGTACGTTTGCAGACTATATAATTAGCTGTTGTACCGATGCTTATTTCCTAAACTGGTATGACATATTTTTACAAATAACCAATCACATGCGAGGTTCAGATTTTGCAATTTGATTTGAACAGAGGGCAGAGAAATGAACCAAATCACTAGAAAGACCACCTCAAAATTAGTAAGTATACAAAGTTTGAAGACGTTTATATGAATATCCTTCGAATAATAAGCTTTCGAAAATCCGATATTTACTATGAAATGTATTGTAATTTTTGTTTTTGGGACGCGCGTCCCATAAACAATCTTTTAATCAGTAATTTCATAATTTTCGAAAGCTTATTATTCGAAGGGTATTCATGTAAATGTCGTCAAACTTTGTATACTTGCTAATTTTGAGGTGGTCTTTTTAGTAATTTGGTTCATTTCTTAATTTGGGCACTTTTTAACACTCGTCCCCAGTCCTCTCATCAACTTCGGAATGGATAATTATTAAAGCCTTTTCCCACATGGCTGTAACGGTCGTGAAGATTGAGTTGCGATCTTTCTGAACAGCGGAAATACAACATTAGAGAATACTTAAGAAGAAATTTTTTGGTATCAGGGCGCTTATATACAGGGTATATAAGCGCCCTGTTTGGTATGTTAAGTAACACGCTCTCAAAACTAATGTGTATAATATATCACTTGAGGTTATGACTAAATTCAAAATTTTTATTTTTCGATACGTTTCTCAATCGTCAAACAAACTTAAAAAGTATGCTTAGTGCTTTATCTGTAAAATAATGCTAAAATGAAGAGATTTTAGATGATACGCCAAAGAGAAAATGATGTCTGAAGTTCAGTTAGTTTTGCTTATATGGCTGTAAATATGGCGTCAATTTTAACTGAGCATCATTGATTATTGCATCATTGACTATTATTTTATGTTTCTCAACCGGCAGATGCATTTAAAAAGCTTGCTAACTCTATAAACTAGAGAATAAAGCTAAAACAAAGTAATTTTGAGAGGAACGCCAAGAAGATTTTAGGTTTTGAACACTTTTCATTGCAAATACGTGAGAAAGAATGTGACTCTACATATCTTTACAACCGTTACGACCATATGGAAACCTGGCTTAATTACTATAGTAGAGCCTCTGGAATCTGGGGAAGCACCTAGGTTTCCTAGGACCACAGGAGCTCGGAAACGGCAAATATCGGTCGGTCACGCCTTCAAATATCGGACAGGCCTTCAAATATCGGTCGATCACGGGCATTGTCCGACCATTCGTAAAATTGTCCGATGTAGAGAGGAAACCACTGGACATTCTGTCCGACCAGAGTGTATTGGTGTCCGACCGAACTGTAGCTTTGTCAGACGTAAATCAAAATGTACCGTAGTATAGGACTAGAGGCTCATATGTTAAATGGAGAATCAGAGTAAATGTATAAAAAGTTAACCGAAAATGTTGTTTTAATGTAATCGAGCGCTGGACAGCGAATGAAATGGTGAAGTGGAAAACGGGCTTCAGTTGTCGAACTCTTGCCGCTGTTATTGGCAAGTAAGTTAATTTTGGCTTGGAAATACAGTAAGTAACTAAGTATGAATTACACAAATTATTCAGAATTAATACATTGTGCTGATATCAATTTGTGTCATTCCGACTTATTTCCGAGCCAAACTGATGGACATCGGACATCATCATACATATGTCCGCCCCAAACTCAAAGTCATCGGACATTTTGATAGACAGCCCTGTGAAATATATTTTAAGGCCTGCTCGGAGCATCAGAGCTTGACTAATGCAGAAAAAAGTAATTTAAAACCATGCTATTCTGACAAGGCCGGATTTGGGTGTAAACGCTGGGGGAGATGGAAGAAAATTTATGGGACAGTGGTCTGGACAACCCTGGGATTTAGGCTTAATGCACATCAAAGCTGACCAAGCAGCCAACTTAGTGCCCAGGCAAAAGGGTGCCCTCAAGGCTCAAATAACAATTTTGTGAATAAGTGTCATAGGCATACGGGACGGGGGGGCAGTAGGGGGCAGCTGCCCCCCCCCAAAAAAGATTACAAATTCGAAAAGTCAGGCAAATGTTCAACATAAGTAGGGCGAAGAGTGGGAAATTAAAAAGGCAAAAAAGTAGTCAAAGCAATCAAATCTCTCTTAATAATAACTTTAGTTAATAAGTATAAAATATTTAATATTGAAAAACTATAAAAACTTCCACTGTTGCATGTGCTTGAAAAAATTTGTTTAGGAAAATTTGTTTGATGTTCTGAAAAATTTTGGTATGTGCGAAAAATTTTTGGACCCCTAAAATGGTACACTGACCGAAATTTTTTTGGCGACGAGGGGGGGGTGTCGCCAAAATTAATTGTTCCGGAAAAAAAATTTTCGGCACTGGTCGGGCACAATCCGAAAAGGTCGGGCAAATTTCTTTCCGCCTCCCTAATTTTTTCCTTCCGGTACGCCCATGATAAGTGTAGTTACTGTAATATAATGGTAACTGGCAACATCTCTTCTAAATATTTCTTTACTTTCTAACAGAGTTCATTCAGTATTTCCTAACAGGAAGCAGTGACCTTGCAGACAAATTAAAAATTTAACTTTTGTTTGCACAATTTAAAACTAGCTTCCAAATTCTGTACCATAGCATACATTATTAATTATTAATAAAACTATTCACAATTAATATGCCTAAATTGCCTGGTATTTAAGACAGAGTAAAATAATAAAGTAGGGCACATTCCGGCACATTGCCACTTAAAGGGTTAAACTAAGCAGGTTTTCTGATCTACAAATGATGTTTGCTGGTCCAGGGTGCATTCCATGTAAAATGATACACTGAATATATCCAAAATATGCTAAGACAAGCAACAGTATTAAGGTCATTCCAATAAAGATTAGCAGCCCCTACAGAGGAAATTTGTGTCCTCCACCAACAGTAGATAACAGGCCAACAACAAACACAGAATAAAATCTTGCATATATTTTGTGCCTGCGAGCAAAATTCAAAATGTGCCTGCAAAAAGCATCTTAGTTTAGATTTTGTGACCTAGATAGTGTTAACAAATTAGAATTTCAAAACATGCCTGCAAAATTTAAAAGGTGTCTGAGAGCTGTGCTTGCATGTTTGTGCATTTGAAAGAATTGCATGCCTGACTGTGCAGCAAAGTATGGTAGATTTTTGATGAGATCCCAGGAGTGTAAGACAAAAACATAGATGTGCCAGTGTGCAGCTCATGAGCCCAATGTTGATAATGTTGGAAATTGCCAATATTATGCAACAAATACAGTTGTGTAGTCATAAATATAGTTAAAAGTGTGCAACATTGTTGGACAAAAAATTATTGTGCTTGCACTTGCCCAGCTGCTTGCCCCCTAGTCTCTCCCACTAACACAACTGGCGGCTGCGAAGGAGACTAGCACTTGCCCTGCTCTGCAGTCTGGTACAGACCAATGTGAAGCTACATTGTAATTGCAATGCCTCTACCTTCAAACTTTGTACACAAATAATGCACTCTGAAATTTTAGCATTCAAAGAACTTATAAATATTAATATACACTTATACTGCAAAATACAAGTTGCTCAATAGTCAATATAGTATAACGAGTTTAAAAAGTATCCATTAAAAGTACATGTGACAAATCTATTTATACAACATAATTTGTAATTGGCATGTCATTGAATACACTTGCCTTGTGTACTCTTCGTTCAAACATTTCAACATGTAGTCTCTATCAAATATATAACACCATGAACCACAACGCTTCCGCAAGCACAGGAAGTCTTTGTCATGATGTAAACATACCCTTCTAGACTAAGCAAGGTGATAGATCTTGACTATATCAATGTATTACACATTTCATACCAGATATTTACAACATGTTTCAGAGTAAACGAATTTTACAAAGAAAACAGCCGCCTGTGTATATTATTAGAAATAGACAGTCAATATACGTTTTGGATGCCGAATATAAGCTAGAAATTTCTGCCAGCAAAAGCACATTTACATTAATTATGATTTAGTATATTTAGTTACTCGTGTTGCAATATTCATGTCATTGTAGAAATAATAAAAGTACTTACGATGGCTTGGTTCATTTCAAGGCATTTGAATTTCTTAAATATTTCACTCCTTTTCATCAGATGCATAAATTACAGTCGCATGATTATACCTGCATGACTATTGTCATAATGTGTCAAGAGAGTGAGTTATCTTCATACTAAGTATACTGACACACAGATTTGGGCATGCTATTATTAAAGTGCACGCGCAACTTACCACTTTTTGCTTTTGGTTTCGTTGCATCTTTGAGATGTTCCGGTAAAAATATTGTGTATAAAATATCTTAGTAATCAGATCGTTCGTCCATATATTAAAAGTGAAACATTATTTGACTATTTCGAGGGGTAAAATTTCCGGAAGTGATGTCACCCACTGATGCGGTCGCTCATTTTCAGTTTTCGCTTGCAGTTCACTACACGGGTAAAAATTGATCAGGTTGTTCGGCGTTGTTCAAACAGGAGTGAACAATGTTGTGCTGCACCCCGTGAACAATATTGTTAACAAGTTGTTCAACCATCAGTACTGTTGCAAGTTGTTAACATGATTGTCAACAAGTTGCAACAATGTTGATGGTTCAACAACTTGTTAACAACATTGTTCGCTCCTGTTTTGAACAACTTGCATCAACATGATGATTTTTACGCGTGTAGACTCTGTCCTCTGGTGTGAACCTAAGTAACATACAAGCTGGGGGGGGGTCCACCATCATCGTCATGTATCAACCATC